TTTGAGCTTCCAAGCAGCGAGTGTAAATAACAGACGCCTCGGCTTTTGAAAAATGCAAAAAAGGTCCAGACTGGCCCCTTCAAATGACAACGAGCAAATTAATTAAAAAAATTTGGACTCTTCTACTTGTGCAAATAAGGAACTCGGTTTAAATCCCAGGAGCTGCACTGCAGCAAACGGATGTGAGGTCAAAACTGAACTTCTGCCCCTGCCCTCCCTTGTCCCACAGGCAGCTGTCTTCAGCTTTTCCTAGATGAGTTGTATAAACCCATCACAGAATGCAGTTGCTCAGGTGATCTGTTGTTCCCTAATTTCATATTAATTGGCAAGGTCACATCTGGCTGACTGAATGGCTTTGAAGTTACCACTTTGTTCAAAAAACAGCAGAGGGTGGGCTCTTGCAAAGCCACGTGTGCATATCCCATCCAGCTTGGGAAATCTCTGGAGCCCAGCAAGACCCAGTGTGGGTTTTCCTTTCAGAGGTGTGTGAAAAGGAGTTTTTAAAATCAGGTGCTAAGTCCTTTGAAACTTAAATCCCTTGATCTTTTTCATCTGTGTTTTAACTCGTCTAGCTAATCAGTATAAGGGCAGTCCTGAAGGCACCTGCCTGGGCTCTGGAGGGTTGGTGGAAGCTGTCTGTGGTATTTCTGAGTCTGCCCACAGGAGCTGGTTTGCTGTTTGTTTGTAGTATGGTAGGATGTAGAGCCCTGTGTCCATTCCCTGTTGTGGGAAGAGGAGAGATGGTTTTGTGAACTAGTAACTGGGTAAAGGCTATGGAAAAAGGGGAGAATAAGAGCTGGCAGCTTGGAGGTTGTTTGGGTGGGAACTTAGGGGATATGGATCCTTGGAAGTAGGGCTTCCCTAGTCCTGAGGCTTGGGTGCCATGGGGGAGCAGGCTGTTTGCTGACAGTAAAGCTGACTGAGAACGTGAGAAGCTTGCTTTCTTTTAACCCCCTTTCAAACAAGAAGGATCTCTTGGTACTGAATCAGAGGATGATTCAGCAGTGAAACCTCAGGCTGGGAAATGCCGGAGCAAAGGGAGGTGGGGAAGCACTGCACTGCACGTGCAGGGGGTGTCGGAGGAGCTGGGCTGAAGCTGCTGGGCTGCTCGCCGAGATGTCCATCAGAAAAGCAGTGGAGAGGAGAGTCCTTTGCAGGAGTGTTTCTGTCCATGTTGGGGGATGTGATATGCAGGGGCAGATGAACCCTTGATGGGGGTGCAACCTTGGCTGCAAAGCTGTGCCTCTGGGGCATCTGCATGAAGGTTTCAAAGCTGCTTCAGTTCTTGAAAAACACCTTTGCTGGGCTGAGCTGTCACATACTTATTCTCTTGTAAGGGGGTGCAATGGCCTCCCACCTCCTTGGGGAGCCCAGCTGGTGGGCAGCAGGGCTGCTGTCTGCCGTGGCAGAGGGCCAGCAGTGTGAGGTTTGCTATCCTCAGCTCCTGCCACCCTCACCAAGCTCACCTCAGCAGCTCAGGGGGAAGTGTGGGTATTGCTGGGGCCATCTGCCTGGAGCCATTTCCCTGCCCTGGGCTGCTCCGCGTTCCTGCTGGTCTCTGAAAATGCAGAGAGAAAGCTGCTGGGGAGCAACCTCTCCCTGTCCCCTGCTGCCCCTCTCGAAGGGAGGAGCTTGACGTTGTTTACAAAACCACACTCCTGTGGTGCTCGCCTGGGGGAGCTGGGATGTTGGCTCGGGTCTGTCCCTTCCTCAGGTGGATTCCAAACCCCAGCCTGCCTGAGCCAAATTGGCCAGGAGCGGGGTAGTCAGTCCCCTCCTACTGAAGCAAAAAGCAGAATTTCTCCTGATTTCTATGGAAGAGCCGTTTACTTCCAGAGAGCAGCACTTGCTGCTTCACCCAACTGCCCCTTTTCCCTCCCCCCGCCTCCGGTGAAGTCAGAGCCTTGCGTTGTAGCATCACCGGCATTTCCATGGCGACAGACCCTGACGTCACAGGCGTGGGCAGTAGCACCCGGGACAGTGATTTCATTGTACCTCTGAAGTTATGCAGGGCTGGGATTTGGTCAGGAGATCTCCCCAAACCCCCCAAGCCCCGGGTCCTGACGAAGCCGTGCGGATGAGTCAGGGCCGGCAGCCTCTCCCCTGCCCGGGACGAAGCCTCAGCCTCTGGGCATCTCTACCTGGCACGGTTCCCCAGGCGCTCTTCAAACGAGCCGAGCTTTTCTTGACTGCAGCCTTGCCCACGTTCCTGTGCTGCTGCCTGCTTAATTGATAATTTGCCATGGGGGCGGGGGGGATCCGCAATATTTTTGCTCTGCAGAGGGCTGTGGGTGTTGCTTGCTTGGCAAAGGGCTCCTGCCTTGCTCGCCGCCTGCGAGCGCTGGGTGAGCAATCCCGGCTTGCACGGCCCGTAAAACGCTGCAGAGGAGTGCTCTGCCGGGGTGCTATGCAAAGGCAAGGGCATGCTGCAGCTTGTTATTGTGCGTAAACATTGTTATTAATATCTGGAAAAAAAACGCCTGGAGGGTGAATTCCGAGGATGAAAGCTCTTGTTCAAACACAGTATTTCAGACAAAATAAAAGAAAACTTGGGTTATCTAAAGCTCAGTTTTTAATAGGCAGAAAGTGCGGGTTGTGGTGTGTTTGTTATTCAGAAGACTTTAAAAATTACACGTTCAAATAGAAATATGTTTGCTTTCCCCATACCCCTCAACACAAATCTATACATGCCAGCTTTGCCGCTCAACATGCGTCGTGAGGAGTTGTAATTTTTTACCTGTTGTCTGTGTATCTGGCACAGATAACGGGGTTTAATGTGTATGGCGGGGGCAGCTCTCGCTGTAGGTGTGCGGAATGGGGAACTGAAACGGTCGCCTGTTCCTTGATGAGAAGCTGTTCAGCCTGGAGAGCTTTTCTGCGATTGCTGATCGCTGCACGCATCCTGCCTTGAGTCCTGGCGTCAAGCCTCACTCTGCTTGGTGCTGATTTTGCTCTCTTGCATCCATTTAAGTGGGAGTGATTCTTCTGAAAGCGGGGGAGTGATGTTTTGTGTGACTGTGGAGGGGTGTGTTGCACTGTCGAGACCGACGGAGCGATGTGTTTTATTCAAAGTGTGTCGTAGCATCAACGTGTAGGCTTGATGCGTCGGGGTTTGAGTGATGTGAATGCCACGCTGATCCTGGGAATGCCCAAGCTCTGATATCCGAGATCAATGATGCTAAAAATGCGCTCGGCTCAAAATTCAGTTACTCGTTGCTGTTTTCCCCTTCCCAAAACAGCTGTGTGCTGGGATTAAAAGCCAGAGGGAACCTTAAGAAATCTGCAAGCTGGACTCTCCCAGTTGTCTCCCATCCTGTCACGTAGACTTTCTGTGTGCTGGTTTGTTTGGTCGGCTGGTCGGGGTTTCCCGCTAAACACGAAGGCTCAGCAGTTCCTGCTATGCTTTTTTTTTTTTCTTTTTTGTGGAGTTTTCTCCAGGTTGTGCAAAACACTGAGCACAAAAATTAGTAGTCAAAAATCAGTGAAGGATTTTGCTTTCACATTAAGATGCTTTTAAAACTGAAAATGAACAGAAATCCTTGACATTAAATCACAGTCTTTCTGCGTGCAAAAGTTTCGCTACGATCTTTGCAGAAAGCACAGTCAGCTCCTACCTAGCTTTATGCACAATATTACTTGCTCATGGGAAATTCTGCCTCATGTAGTGTAGGTTTTGGAGAAAATGCTTGAACAATTATTTAAATATTTAAATGAAAGCCTCTTCACCTATGACACCTACTGATCTGTGCCCAAGGGTGAGCAGACGGTGTAAATTCATCTCAAACTGTGGAGCTGTTTCAGGTATTCCCTGCTGGATACATAGAAATCTTTAAAAGCATATAAAAATCCTGATAATATTTTGCATGCTTTTGTGTAATGACAAATATTATTCAGCTCCCAGGGTGGGGAAGCTGCAGGAGCTGATGTACATTGAGGGATCTGTCCTGGGGATACCTGGCATGACTGCTCTCTGATGCCGCTGCCATTAAGCACTTGATAGGGTGCTGGGATGAGACCAGAACTGGGCTCAGCGATGCCGGTGGGAATTCTGTATTGCCTGGAAGCATCCCTGTACTCTGCAACCTGGGGACAGTTAGCAAGACTGAGAATCTCTGAAAACTGAGGATTTTTTGCACCAGGAGAGAGGGTTGCACTGAACACTTACCTGTTATTGTGTATTTTATAATCCCTCTCTGGCCAAAACGTTCCTTGAGCAACTTGAATTGGAAAGTGATTGCCTGTAAGCATGGTGCTGGATCCTTTCTCTCTCTCTCTTTTTCCTAACAAGTATTTGTGAATGTGTTTTATGATCATCTGGTGCTTTCTTATTGTGAAACCTTGTTGACACCAAAACTTGTTGACATGATATGGAGCCAAACAAATCATCACACAGAACTGACTTTTTGATTTAAGAGCTTGAGCTCAGCTTTGGTTTCATGAAGCCTTTTCTGGCTGGACTTTGCTGTGTGAGAAGGATTTTTCTCCCTTCACCAAAAGCTGTTCCTCAACCTTTGGGTTTTACATAGACCTATTGGGAAGTGGTTTTGGGACATGATGGTCTCAGTCCAGCTCCCGGTTGACAAAAGCTGGCCAAAGTCACAACACCCCAATTGGCGCTAAGGGGTGCAGTTGGCAGAAGAAGTAGGAAGGCCAGCATTGGAATGGGCAGAGAGGCTGACGTGTCGCCGACCCTTCCAGGTGACCCCTCTAGCTCAGGGCTCAGGTAGAGGGAGCCTGGCTGGGAGGTGTGGAGGTGTTTGCAGTGCTTCTGTCCATGCTGCATCTGCTCTGAGCACTTGAGCTTCCCTGGCTGTTAATCCAGTACTTTTCACAAGCCTTAATTGCAGTTAAAAAGAATTAAACAAATATTTACCTAATATCAGATCACAACCAGTTTATAAATATGCATTTTTTTAAATCCATGATTGCTCAGCTTCTGTAATAATATTTATAGTCTTAAAGAGACCCTTCTTTTTCCAGAAGAACCGACTCCACATAAAACCAACAGCCCACCCTCTGGAGTTACATACGCTCATGATGTCTTGGACTGTGGCCTCAAGCCATGCCCCCTGCCTTTTTCTAGCCTTTCTGCAGATCCCATGGGCAGATATGGACAGCCAGATAGCATAGGGACAACACCTACACACCCTGCCAACGCTGCAGGGGCCTCTGCTCCGAGCCCTAGGATTGAAATTACTCCATATCATGAACTGATTCATTCAGGGGGTCCCTTCCGCAGCAAAGACACAGATGTTCTTTTGGTAGAACATCAGTCAAACTCAGCTACCACTAGCCCAAGGGTTACCCTGCCTGTCCCTGGCTTTGAGGGCTACAGAGAACCACTGTGTTTGAGCCCAGCTAGTAGCGGCTCCTCTGCAAGTTTCATTTCAGAGACAAATGTATCTCCTTGCACATCACCATGTGTTTCACCAAATAATGGTCCTAGTGATGACCTTTGTCCACAGTTTCAAAACATCCATACTCATTATTCTCCTAGAACCTCTCCAATAATGTCACCACGAACAAGCATCACGGAGGAAACCTGCTTGGGACGACATTCACCATCACCCTGTCCCAACTCAAGGTCTTCGTCACCAGGTGCAAAACGGAGGTACTCTTGCACTGAGCTCTACAGTACTCAGCTGCCTTCCACTTCTCCACGACAGTCAAGGACCCCCTCTCCACAATCCTCTCCTCGCATCCCCTTGAGAGAAGACAACTCTTCGGTTACTTACACGCAGTTGCCCAGTGCTTCTCTTTCCATGGATGCTATGAGCAGCCTTCCTACGGATCCTTCCTGTGGTGTTCCCACGAAAATTTGGAAAACCAGCCCTGATCCTTCATCAATGCCTTCCCACAAAAACAGCATTCCATGTCACGTCTTTCAGACTGTTGACTTCCACGGGCCTTGTGAGCAGGAGGACAGGAGAAACTCAGCCCCAGAATCAATTTTGTTGGTACCTCCATCCTGGACAAAGCAACTGGTGCCTGCAATACCTATCTGCAGGTATGTAATGCTTCTTGTGGTTGTGTATTTTCTCATGGTGTGATGTCCCTGTCATGCATAGCGATCCCTAGGGAGTGTTTCCTTGGGCAGATCCTGCTGCAGACCAGAGCTAAGTGCTCAGGGACAGCACTGGTTAATGGAAGCCCAATCCATTGTGATTCTGAGAGATGAAAAAATCTGGGTTTGGAAGAAACATCATCAAAGCGGTTCATCGATAGCCCAGCATATGACAAAGTCAATTTTCCGAATTACTTGTCTAAAAAGCAGATTGTAAACAGCCTTTGACAAAGGCTAAATACTCTTGTTCCATCCTGCTGCTTTTAAAGAAAATAGTTTGATTGCTTTTCTAAATTCAGGGAATGTCTCACTTATAAATTTCCATCAAGGATGAAAATACTTAAAATATTTCCCGATTCAAAATAGAGTACACTGCTCCAAGTCAGTCAGCCCCAAGTGACTTATTGTTGGTTGTTAATTTGTTAATTGGCGTTTAACCCAAATCTCAGTTGTTGGCACTACCCTCATCGACTCCCTCCATTGTCTGGCGCTGGCGGCACGCAGGTCTGGACCCTGAGCAGTGCACATCTGCCAGGATGGAGGTTGCCAAATGTGTGACTCCACTTGCAGTCACCGCTGGTGCCCTGGCAGCCCTGCCACCCCGCTCGGCAGCAAGGTCGTCACCATGCTGATGTTATCCCGTGCTGCTCCCGACCTGCTAAACACAAATTGCAAGTGAAGGAACATGGGCCGTGACTTTCCTTGGCTTGTCAGCTTGGTCCTGGCAGCAGTTTGTACTAAGAAAATAAGAGTTGTCTGAAATTGAGCACAAGCTCTAGCTGTACATTTCAGTGTTTTAATTTCTTGTTATAAACCTTTGTGTGTTTTGGTAACAGGAAAACTAGTGTCAGGTAAGAATACTTAGCATTTTATTCATGTGTATTGTAATATTTATGGAAATCATAAATATTATTAATTTACACAACTGGTAAGTAATGGTAAAGGGAGTTAATATTTCACAGTATATGTTCTGTGATCAAAGTTTGATGCACAGCAAAAGCTAGATAAAAGAGGGGATCTTTGGAAATATATAACTGCTACGGATATTTCTGTTTAAGAAATAGAAATATTCTCTTCTCTTCTGCAAGGAGATGGGCCCACAGAAACGATTGTGTTCATCCTGAAGTTCAACGGAGTTGTAATCAGGCATGAGCAGGGCAGCATATTCTCACTGAAATTAAGAGCAGACTCCTAAACATTTCAGTGAGAGCAGCCCCGGTGGGGTACTTGGAGGAAGAAGGCATCAGGGCTTTAGGCAATAAAGTGCTAAAGAGTTTCAGTTGGTGTGGTCTCTCTCTGCCCAGTTTGCCCGTCCAGTCGCTCCCGCCCCTCGAGTGGCCGCTTTCCAGCCAGTCTGGTTCCTACGAGCTGCGGATTGAGGTACAGCCGAAGCCCCACCACCGGGCGCACTATGAGACAGAGGGAAGCCGAGGGGCCGTCAAGGCACCGACCGGAGGCCACCCCGTTGTCCAGGTAAGGGACAGGAGAACAGCTCCATAGAGGAAAAATGGGGGGCGAGTTCCTTTTTGAAGTCTTGCTGGGAGTTGACCCTGAAAGAGGGGGACCATGTGAACCTGGGCGTGCTTGTAGATGTGCATAAAGCTGAACTGTGGTGAAGTCCTAGATGTTTGTAAAGTTGGTTTGGATTCGCTTGTGGAAACTCAGAAACTTGGACAATGTATTTGCCACCTTTTCTGGGCTGTATGTTAGATCTCCTGTGACCCAGCTCTGTCCTAAGATGTCCAGCTGAGCCTGTTTCATCTTGAGAACAGTCTTGTCTATGGCAGCTAGGGCTTTTTGTGAGGTTCAGAATGGACAAACACCAAGCCTGGCCTTCAAACTCAGTGTAGTTCAGTGACCTGCCAAACTTGGATCTAAAATAACTAGCAGATCACGTTAGATCTGCAGTAAGACGTTGTCCTGCCAGGGGCAAGTGAAGGGTTTGGAGCTGTGCTCCCCCAGAGCAAACCCACACGGCAGAGTTGCTACCTGTGTTTCTGGATATATCTATGTAACCCCGGTTCCTCTCCGGCCCATGCAGCCAGACTGCACACGACTCCTACACGGTCACTTCAGGTTTAAAGAAAGGCAAAGCAACCTTCATTAACCTTGATGGGCATTGGATTAGGGAGGCATAGATTCTTTCATGCATGTGCTTTTTCCTTAGCAATTTTCGATGGGCATTGGATTAGGGAGGCATAGATGTTAAACTGGAGTTTCCTCGGAGTTAACTTCTGCCTTTTGCTAGAAATGTCTTTCATGCATGTGCTTTTTCCTTAGCAATTTTACTCCTTTTTTTTTTTTTTTTTTTTTTTTTCTTCCCCCCTCCCTGTCCTTTGGTTACGTGGTAGAACTTCTAATTTTAAGCCCATTTAAATTTAGGTCAGAGAATTTCACCCCTGTGTAATTCAGGCACTGGGTACATCCATTCCAGTCGAGTGCCTGGTTTATGTGTAACTTGCTGGCACCGCGTCCCGCCTCGCGTGCAGTTCAGTTTGTCATCTGTGGTAACGCTGCCTTCTTTTTGTCCTGGATGTACACTGCCGCGGGGAACCCTGTGCTAGCTGCAGCAGCCACGTGATAAGGGGACAGCAGGGCAGGATAATTAAATTACATGGCGGTGGGGGTGATTTAAAGAGAAAAGTTTGGCCTCTGTAAAGCTGTACATATAGAGAGGACATGTTTATCAGCTTTGTAATTTTATAGAGAAAGGGTGAATGAGTTTAGGCAGGAAATCCCTTGCGATTTGGGTTGATGTCACTACAGAAACAAAATTTTATATTTTGAGGTATCATTTCTGTTGCTCTAAAGAGTCCAGTTCTGGTCCTAGCTATGCCTGTGAGAAGGGAAGTCACCTTGCTGAAATCAGTGAACAAAGTCCAATGTGATGGAGGTAATAAAATTTGGTCTTTTGCTGACCTGGGAGGTGGATGAGCTGAACCCTTACTCTGTTGTGGAGGGTGAAGGGCTTTTCCAAAAGGTGATGTAAAATAATGGCTGAGTAGCTGCACTGGAGCCATTTGGGGCCACATTGGTCTTCTTACTGGTTTCCTCCCAGTTTCAGCTGGTGCTGTTCAGGAAGCAAAGCCAGGCTTTTGGTCTGGGTCGCAAGGTGTCGGGGTGATATTGCTGGTAATGAGGAATGGCAACTGCACAGATCAGCCGCAGTTTGCCTTTTGCTAGGCAGAGTTGGGGGGCATCTTACAGGTGTTCCTGTCCTCAGGACTTGCTATCACAGAATCACTATGGCAACCATGAGCCAGGAAAACGTTGAAGTTTATGCTTAATTTTAAGCACGTGATCAATACCACTAATTTCAGTGGGTTGGCTTGTGCTTAACTTCAAACATATGCTAGATATTGCCCTGCAGGCTCAGCCTCTTTTCAAATCAAGCCATAAATTGTTAAATCAATGAATTTGTTTACTTTGGTTGAGCTGGACTTTCATGTATGGACTAGATATTTGAGTAAAGGGTGCAGGATAATAATAAATAGCAATCACATTTAACATACCTTAAGATATGCAATCTTTTTAGTTTATGAATCTGACAAACTCCTAGCCTGCTGTGGTGTGTTTGAAGCTGCATGGATGTATGGACTATATGGCCAATCAGCACTTGCTCGTTTCTCAGTTTGCTTACAGATACAACATCATTTACCTTCCCAAGATATTCCTATCAACCGGATGTTTATTGCAATGAAGGAGTTTCTCGTGACATGGGGAAATATAAATGCTTTGTTTCCTTCCTGTAATCAGTGTCAGTCAAAGAGGGATTTGTATTTTCTGTTGGAGACAGGAACTGATATTTCTAGTTTTATCATAATTTACCATCAAGCTTATGGATCCTAAACTATAAATTCAAAGACCTATGTTTGTTTCCCCAGCAGACATGCCTTTGCACAGCTGTGCCTGCATATGGGGAAAACGTAGACAGCTTCTTTACGAAGGTTTGTTATAAACCTGGAAGTATTAGTTGGATTTGTGTTCACTTTAACATAATAAGGTTCACATGGGTGCCCAGCAATGGGGTAGTTGCACCTGTATGCTTTACAACATCTGAAACTTGGGCAGGCTAGTAGAATCCAAAGCTTTCATGTCATAAGTTATTTGGCTTCAAGGTTGTTTGTTTTGTTTGGTTTTTTTTTAATTCTTTTTTCCCCTCAGAGAATTTTAACTTTCATGTTCTTGTCAGATGCAAACAGTGCAGAAACAGAGAAAATGAAACAGAAGATATATTGTAACGATAGATGCTGTGTTGAGGAAAGTTTGCATGAGTTAAAAGCAACTGGTTGTAAAGAAATTAAATTAGTTTTCAACAAGTGCTATCTGTGTTTGGCCCCAGAGCAGGAACCGCTGTGATGACCCGGGGGTGGCAGGGCTGGGGTTCTCTGCTGGCTGCAGACCTGGACACTGAGGACCCACAGCACTTTTCAAAGGACACACTGGAACACACCGCCCTTGGGAGTTTTCTGGAGCGCTAGGGCCTCTCCACAGCCTCTCCACAGCAACTTTTGCATCCAGTACTGTCTCTCAAACACTTGGCCTCAAATACTGAGAAACCAAGCTTGCCCTGGGTGGGAATGGCCCACCAAAGCGGTGGCATTTATACCGAGGCTGAATGTCCCATTCATGTCCCATGCATTTTACAGCCACTTGCGATAGAGTGCTATTCCACTCTTTTGATTACCTTTTCTAAAATACAATGTGGTTTCAATTTTTTTTCTGAATTTTCTAATTCCCTATTAAATTAACCTTCCACGTGACTAATTATCCAGCTGAACCTTCTAGAGGAAGAGATGTTGGATAGCTTTTGCAGCGTGGCATTGGCCTGCGATGTCTATTTTTTGAAAACTGCATTTTGCATGCAAGTTTCTTCTTTTGGGTGCTCTGAAGCTACAGACCAGCAGATCTCATATCCTCCAGGCCTTATCTTGTGGTTTATCTTTCTGATGCTGCTTCCTCTTCTTCACGTGTCTAGCCCCGAGAGTTTGTTCACAAGACTCGGCACCAGTTGTGCACTCCCAAGTACAGTGAAGAGTCTGGTTAATCAAAACATCTGGCTAGACGGGCCACATGGAAGAGGGCATTTACTTTGTTTGCCTGGGGAATGAAGAGAGAAGCCATGCATCTGGTGTAATTTTCACACCGTCTAACTTCAGACACCTTCCAGAGTCACATGGAGAAGCGTAGGCTCCCAGTTTAGGTGTTCTGAGTCACTCTTGGGAGGAAACTACAGCTTGCTATTAACTATAGAGAAACTTGGGCTTCTATTTTAGGGATGCAAGTTGAGTGCTAGTGTGAGCATCCTCTAGTTGTTAAGTCAGTGAGAACAGCGAGGAAATCCTGCGTGGCAAGGACAAAACTGAAGTTCGCATGTACCTATCATCTCATAGGTCCATCTGGTCACTGAGACTGCAGAGGAGGGGTAGGCATGATTGGTTTTTTTTTTTTTTTTCCTTTCCAAATCTTTCACTGATGTTGAAGGTCAGCTGCTTATTTGTACCCAACTGCCCAGTCAAGGTTTTGGAAGAGACAGTCCATCAGGAAAGGCAGTGACTGCTCCCATGCAAAGAGCTTATGGATGTGATTGGGATAGAGGTGACAATCCAAACACAAACCTAGCTCTGTCCAAGTTTGCCCTGCAGCAGCACAACCTGCCCAGAGGGCTAAAAATCTCTATCTTTGCATGCTTTTAGGTAAAAACCTGCTAGGAAGAGTGTGGATATATTTGAATTCTGCTTGGGGCAGGGGAGATAAACAAGGTCATTGCTTGAGATGTCTCCCGGCATTGTTTTCAATAATCCTCCTGGGAACTCCCACCTCTTAGAGGAAATTAAATTTTTTGGGTTGTTGGCATTGATTGCTATCCTGTTATCAAGAGGAAGTGGGGAGTGTGGTACTGCCTGAGTAGCACTGGATGCTGGCATAGGTGTCTTTCACCTGCTGGCCACAGTGGCAGTGAGAACCTCTCTGCTTCTGGAAGAGACAGATTTTCAGTTCTTCAGCAAAGGTTGTCCTGTCTTTGAACTGTTTAAGGCCTTTTCAGTAGCAAAGTTTGGGTTGGGATGAGCTTCACCCCATGATCAGGCAGTCTATGATCTCTTAAAAGCCATAAAAATATTATTTTGAAGATATTTATTAAACTTAGTGGTTCTGGTTTTGTCCTACTGCGTCACATGAAGCCAGATTTTTTTTCAAGGTGGAAATGATGTTTCACACGATTGTGTGATATTTCAGGGAGTTCTAAGCAGAACCTTTGTCCTTCCTTCAAGGGAAGTGGAAGAGAAAGGAAAAGCTTTTAGGGAAGATGAACAGTTGATTTATGTCGCTTGTCCACATACTCTGGATAGCTGATCTGCACTTGCTTCATCAGAAGCAAGTGGCATTTACACATGTTGCAGCCCAGGGGTATAAATGAGACCAACCCATTTCACATCATAGTCTCGCCACACTGTGAAGTCCTCTGGTGTCCT